ATTTCATAAATGTTAATAAATGATAATAAGTTACTACTATAAACTGGCATAGGTGTTCTCTATATCATCTAGCAAGAAGATTTTCATTTGCCTAATTATGGAATGAAATAAAATATCATGTAGTGGCATACGCTTACTAGCTAAGAGTATCCCTTCCCTCCAACCGTTTTCTTTCAAGTTAGTTGCAGAAGTAATAATCTTTAAATCGATATAATAATTGAATTATTATCTAGTGTGATGATAAGAACATAATGAAAAAGTTTAAATCAATATTTCTCCCCTATAAAGTTTTCATTATCTACTGGACCTCGATAAGAATTTAAGGCAACAGCTGATTTTTTTAACTTAACATTTCTAAAAAAAAAAATCCACTAATTGCCTGAATCATTTTCATGAAAACGTTATTGGTCACTTAATGTAATAAGAATCCATTTTCTTGATAGAGTTCTGTGTTCAGAACCTATTTTGATTAGGATGGGATGATTTTAGGATTGATAAAACCAGGTATTCTATGCATATGAAAATTAAAGAAAAGTGTTAGGAACAAATCAATAAACTTAGCTGAGTAATTAGAGTTTTGTGCTGGTCTGAAGTCTGGATATTGTGAAGCGATTGATACATTACTCATAAAGCAACAGGCAAAGAATGAAATTACAGAACTGTTAGCACCAACTATTGGAAACTGCATATACTTTTTTCTGCAATTTAGTTAACTGTATTTGACATTTAATTCGTTACCATGGCACAAAGATTTGTATATAAAACACACTTTACAAATAATATTAATAAAGAAACTGTAATGATATAGATGCAAATAATATAGAAACAAGTAATGAAGATAGGAAAGGACGATTCTCTTCAAATCTTTCGGTGAAATCGAAAATATTTTTTAAAAATTTAGGTTGAACTGTTTTTATACTGGTTCATCGTTGTTTTGCTGTTGTTGTTTTTTTTTACCCCGCTTGTAAATTTTTTTTATAATGCTATCACCGGACATGATAGTGTTAAAGCAGCAGATATTTTTTCTTCCTATTCTCTTTTCATAGCAACCATTACATAATTATGAAACTAAATTCAACGATTATTATTAACAAAAAAAAATCTTGTTTTAAATAGAATACTGATTGAATTACATTGCATTTTTGTATAATGAAATTATGCTTACTATATTAAGTTTTATGCTTGAATTTTTTTTTTTTTATATTACAGTTTATTTAAATTAAGTCTATGTTTCATGGAGAGGTTTGGATTGCCAAAATTTTCGTTTTTATATTATAGTGTACGTAAAGTTTGACTTATGTAAATGCTTTCTTGGGGGGAGACGATGTTTAACAGTGTCTTTTTTACATTTAACAATTTTTTTAGCCAATGTTTGTCAACAATATATATCAGCGGCAACACTCTTCCCATTAGAGGTGCACATTCTCCCCTCCCCCTCAATATTGATGGCGCATTTAGTTGTTCCTCTTCTCTTCTTGAAAACATGAGATTACACATCTTGCAGACCGTTTCATGCTTCCCTTGGTCTTTTGGTTTGAAATTTTTCATTTCTAATATTCATAACCCCGTCAAACTGAGTCCTCCTCCAAACTCATTATGGCGCTACTTGCGGCATGAAACACAATCCTGGGCAACTCGCCTCCCACCATGTTCCAAAACGCCATTCTTTTTTTCTCTTTACCCGTTTTCTTCTGACATTAGTGACGAGTGAATATGAAAAACAAATACTGAAATATTTTAAGAATCTTACAAATTAATTTTGGTTTTATTGTTATAATATAGTATAAATTGTACAAACATCAATAATGAAAATAACAAGTATTACCTAATATTTTATCAAGAGAACTAAGGAATATTTGAATTCATTTTCAATAAATCTAAATTCTATCTTTTTGTAAGAAATGACTGATTTCCAAGGAGAAAAGGAAATAATGTCACAAACAATACTTTTTAATTTAAATTTTTTATTGAAAAACAACAAATAAATCACCTCAGTATTCTAGATTTAAAATCTGAACGTTAAAAGACAAAAAAGACAGAACAATAATGTAAATTTGACTTATTTTAGAAAATGTTTGGTAATAATTTCATATATTTCACAAAAGGATTTTAATAAAACGTATACTTTATTCGCAGTATAGTATTAGAACTCCAGAGAAGGATGTAATCGGTTTAATAAGATAACAGTAGTACAAAGCGTTTTGCCAAAACAACAAAATTACTAGAGTAAATATTTTTTCAACGTGGAAATTTTCAAATACGATTTTTGAAAAAAAAATCTTGTATGTGATGTAATGATACCAGTTAATGAAAAAAAAAAGATAAGTATCACTATGGTAATGGTTCAAATTCAATGACAAATAGTAAAAGAAATTTAGAGAAAAGCGTTTTCAACCAGTTAATATCGGTCTTACGTGCAGTAACTTTATCATTTACCAGTTGCTATAAATGTGATTCATCGATCAGTAAACTATCACAGTCTTTCAAGAACAGAAAACTTTATTTTAAAACCTTCACTTGTCCTCCCTCATCAGCTTTATTAACACCTTTGTCTGTGACCCCAATTTCTGAGGACTCTTCAAACTCTTAAGCCATTAAAAAGTTTATAATGAGACTATAGCAGAAAACTGAAAATAGAAAAAAATGCAATATATTTTGTAAATATGATTTCCTGGTTAAGGATATAGACAGTCAAATAAAGCAATGTCTCAATGTTGCTAAGCCAATGTGCATAAAATTATAAATAAACAAAATACGCCTCTTGAAACAAAGGAAAAAAATTATAATATTTATTTGGGAATATAACAATTAATAAATAGCTAATGCTTGTTTTAAATTTTGGAGTCTATTTTAACATTTTCATGAGTCATAAGGAAACTGTGAATGGAACAGTATTTTAAGTCATTCCACAGAGCACCTTGGTCCTCCGACTATTTACAAAAGCTAAATCAATTGATTTAGACTCTTTTCAGGATCCTCCCACGACCGGCTTTCAATGATATTCATGTCAGCGTTCTGTTTGATCACCGTCCAAGAATCTTTCACAGTCCATTGGTGTTTCCAGTTTTACCTTTTGTACCAGAGGCTATTAATACCTCAGGCCATCGGTTTTCGTCCCACTATTTACATCATTCTCACCTTCAGGTAGGCCACTTTATTTAAAATAATTAATATTATTTTTTGAGAAGGAGTTGGTCGGGGGGGTGCGGTCAAATAAATATTAAATCGTTAAAACAGTATTTTTATCGTCACGCCTAAATAATATTAATTGGTGTAATTGGCGTAACGATTAAAACACTATTTTAACAATTTAGTATTTATTTGACCGTACCTCTCTACGAACTCCTTCTCATATTATATCACGGTTAACCATTTCTACACCAATATTATTTTTAGTTGCACACGAGATTATTTCAGGAATGTACGAATCAATCGACTGGAATATTCAGGAGGATTAGACCCTTTTACAAATGGATTCCTGACCAGACAAATTGTTTCCTTCTTGCCAGAAAAGAAGAGACAACGACTTTTTTTATTTAAGCCAACAGACTGAAAGAAGTGGTAGAAAATATTGGCTTGCCTACAAAGTATTGAACTAAATTAATGTTATTTAGAAGTTAATAAGAAGTAAGCTGTATCATTTTGACTGTGAAGTGTGAGATAATATATATGTATATATATATATATAAAACTAAAGATAGTTATTGTAGTTAGATATATATAAAGTTATCAAGTTGGTTTTAGTCTTTTAATAGTATATATGTATAAAATTCAAATTTGTAATCTTGGTCATTAACAATTATAAAATAAACAATGATATACAAAATTAAATTAAATGTTAAACCTTTCACGGCCCCAAACATATATGAAAAGAAAGTCCTTGAAATCAGTTATTAACACGCTTTAGAAATATGTATGCTCTCTTCCCAAAACTTTTACTTAATGATTTAATATATGTAAAAAATATATATTTTTTATAGGTAATTCAGCAAATTTTCAAATAAAGATGGCTCTGATCATGAAAAAAATGTATAATGAAGAGACGAATAGCTGGGGTGATTATTCAAATAATAAGGCAAAAATAAATGATAATATTTATTTTGACATTTGCCGACGTTTCGACCTGAAGTTCAGGCTTTCATCAAGGTTGTCTCCACCAGTGTTGCACGGAGAATAATTACCCACAATTATAAAAAAAATGTATACTTTTTAAATAATTCGCAAATGAATATTCTTTTTTTCATATGTTTTTTCCATGAAATTTCGGGTAGATGTTACTATGACTCGTCCCTGCCCCATTTAATACCCTTTCGTTTGATACCTCATTTATCAAAATAAATCGCGTCTGAGAGCCGGAAAAGGGATCGTTACGGCAAAAAACTATCGTATTATATTTATATTATAAGATAAATAGAAGAACTGTGCTGAGATAGTCGTCATGGCAACGACATAACTTTTCATTATGATGTTTTTGCCTAGTGTTAACTAAAACATTCATAACTCCTCAGTATTTTATCCTAATTCAATGTTTCTACAACCGTTGGAAAGCTGAATTATCGCTCTTCAAGACCGTATAAATAACTTTTTGATTTAACATGTCTATGAAGAATAAATAAACAAAAACTCTTAACAGGTTTTTACTTTATAACTTGAGTTCTAATTTATTTAGAGGAGTACAGTTTGTGTCATTTCGTGTAGTTTATAAGGCTCTGCAACCCTGAAAAATTTCGTGGAAATAGGTGGAAGTATATTGAAGATTAAGATCGATTGTTTACGAAATATTTTTTATCTATAAAAATATCAGCACAAAAAAGTTTTTTTTACGAAATTACGAAAATTTCACACGGGCAGATTCTGAAGGTTCAATCATTAGAAAGATCCCAATTATCTTTCGTTTAATTTTGAACAGTACAATATTCATCATCTGTTGATAAGAAAAAAGGATATATTATTAAAAAAAGTTCCGTTTTATTAAGACAGCCTTGCGACCGCATAGCAATCTAGTCACCGCCCCAGTTCCATCTTAACATTCTATCCCTAGGAGATTGCAAGCCATTTGTTTTTTCTTTCGAGTCGGACATGCCTGTAGGTCTAGAGTAGTCCTTGAAAGAGTTTATAGTCGCTTCCTTTATATTGTCAATGAAATGAAATAAGCAATCAACGATTGCGGTGCTAGAAATCATTTACAGTGTTTTTTAAGCTAAAAAACAATTAAATGACCATAGTAGACTACAAATGTTAATTTAGGTTAGGATCTAACGTAACAAGCCTGGAACAATATGTTGAAAAGATTCTTTAAGGCGATAAAAATAACACAAACCTTATTTATTGAACGTCATATATCAAATCTCTGAGCTCTATACAAAGAGAGATTTGAAAGAACGTCTAATATATAAATAAGTAGGTATTGTATTACTTAGTAACAATTATAGGAATTAAATCTGTTTTACTTTATACATTTTTTTAAACTTTTTTTTTTTTCTCGTGTAAAATTTACCAATATGGAATTACAAGATTTGCATTGCCTACTAGAGATAGGATAAAAGTAGTCATACACTAAGTACATAATATTGTGATTTCATAGAAGGAAACTTCGTGTGATTTAATTTTCTAAAATCTTACTTAATGATTTTCCGAGATAAACCGACGATGTTTACCGACAGACACAGTTTAGCTACATTCTATCTTCCGACTTTCCAGAAGTAAGAATAATAAGAATCCTTTTCCCCAATACTGTATCCGCTCCAAACGAAGTACTGGGACCCTCTGGCAAAGAGAGAGGCAATCTGAAGAATATTCAAAACTGGTAAAAAGAATTTGAATTTTTCAATCCCAATACTATTTTTATTTTCTATCCTACACTTCCTATGCTAGAGTTGTGAAATACTATTTTGTATATAAGGCATACGGGAGATTGCAGCTGATAGATGATACGCACTTGTAATAACATAACACTGCACACAATCTGCTCAAGGTCATCATTTAGTTTTTGCCACTGTCTTCTATTCGATTTATCGGCCTCCCAAGTTGGATTGACCCACAACTTCCACAGTTTTTGCAAGTAGTTCAGCTAATATCATCAGCTGAGGGAACTTACTTTCCGTCAGAATGTAAAGTGGACCCTACACGGTCATTCGGATTTGCATTCCGAGACACTAATGACGTTCCGAATGATCGTGTAAAGTAGTGAATGAAGTACTGCTGGACGTGACTGGGAGATTTCCAAAAATCTGGAAATCAAAGGTTCATTCACGAGAAGTGGAGGGGAGACTGAGGTAAAGGTAGTGGGTAGACTAGCCATATCACTAGATTGGTTAGTTTACCTAAGCAACCATTACAAATTCCTGATTTTCTTTAAAAGTAAATAGTTGTTCATATCCCTTCTTTATATTTTATAAACCATCTTTAAGTATTTTTTGTAAATAGGCAAGTAGGCAAAAAAATTAAAAAAAAAAAAGTGGAAACCACAATTTACTTGAAGAAAGAAAATGATCTTTAACTGTTTTGTAAATTTGCCAGTTCTTTAACAATTTTTTTTTATTTTCGTAATACCTTTCTTTAATTTTTGTAAGTACTTATATTTTACTAACTTTTTTCAAACCGATTTTCTATGAGACAATCATTGCTAGATAGGTTAATTTATCTTTGCCTCACAATCATTGTACATTCCTGATTTTTAAGTAAATAATTTCATAAAAGTAATTACTTTTTTATATCCCTCGTTTATATTTTTATAAATCATTTTCAACTATTTTTTCTTTAAATAGTCAAGTGGGCAATAAATAAATAAAAAATGGAAACTTTACAAATTACTTATAGAAACATATATCTTTAACTGTTGTGCTTATTTGTAATTAATGTTTCCATTTTTCTTAACAAATTGATTATTTTCGCAGTATTTTTCCTAAATTTTTGTAACTTTGGTCTAAACCATTTTCAGGTACAAGGAAGTAATTATTATATCTCCATTTTTCTCTTTATGTCCAATACTATAAAGGACAATGTTCAAATAAGCTGTTTAAATTAAACACTGTATTATAAGTGGAGGGGGGACTGAGGTAAAAGTAGTGGGGAGACTAACCGTACTACTGGATAGATTATTTTACCTAAACCTCACAACCATTACAAATTTCTGATTTTCACTATATGTAAATAGTTAAATAATTTTTCATATCACTTGTGTTTATATTTTTAAACCATGTTCAACCATTTCTTTTAAATAGTCAAGTGGGCAACAAATTGAAATAAAAAATGTGGAAACTTCACAATTTACTTTAAGAAAAAAAAAAACTTTAGCGTTGTGTATATTTATCAGTTCTTTTCCCATTTTCCTCAACAAATTTATTATTTTCGTAATACTTTTCCTTAATTTTTGTAAGTAATAGACTTATATTTTCCTAACTTTTGTCAAAACGATTTTCTATGGGACTAACTTTACTACTAGATAGGTTAGTTTACCTAGGTCTCGTTTTTAAGCAAATAATTTCATAAAAGTAAATAGTTGTTTATATCCCTAGTCTATATTATTATTAACCATTTTCAACTATTTTTTCTTTAAATAGTCAATTAGGCAATAAATTGAACAGAAAAAAAAGTGGAAACTTTACAATTTATTTATAGAAAAAAAATCTTTAACTGTTGTGTTTATTTGTCATAAATTATTCCATTTTTCTTAACAAATTAATTATTTTCGCAATACTTTTCCTAGATTTTTGTATGTAGTTGACTTATATTTTTCTAACTTTGGTCTAAACGATTTTCAGGCACTAGGAAGTAGTTATTATATCTCCATTTTTCTCTTTATGCCCAATATTATAAATGACAATGTCCAAATAAGCATATCTATGCTCTTTCTTTGTTTACAACTGAGCTAAATTGGTGTGAGCAACGATAAGTAGTGATCAGTAATGACTGAACGTGGAATGGTCTTCATGATCAAAGCGATCCCGAGCAATCTTGGCAATTCTTGTGACGTTCATTCATGAATTACCGTGTAGGGTCCGCTTAAGTGAACTGTTCAGCATCATCATTTCATATAAACTTCAATCAAATCCCATTAAAATGGGATCCCCTAATAAATTAAAGCTTAGATGTATAAAATATATTGAGCTAGAGCTAGTTGGTACATACCTGCCGCCGGAGGAGCCGAGGTACTCTACATGAGCCCGGTACTCGATCCTGGTGGGGCGAGGGGTGTACCTGTGGAGCGGGCGGAGGTAGCGGGGCGGCGGGAGGTAGATGTCCCTCCTCGAGTAGGGGTCGAGGTACCTGCCGGTGTTGGGGGGCGGCGCCGGGTAGCGCGGCACGTACCGATCCACCGGCGAGTAGCGGTCCGTGGGGTAGCTCTCCCCCATACCCGTCTGTCCGCACCTGAAACATTATTAAATAATTACATCTATACTAGATATGGCATTGATAGATTTTACTATATTAAGTACCAGTGATCAGGTCGACAGAGTAGCGCAGGGATCTTCTGGAGCCTTGCTTATTCCTAAATTGGTGGAGAAACAAGTGAAAATTCAAAATTCAAGTGTCTGATTGTAAATGATATATATATTGGTGTATATATATACCATTTCAAAGTCAATTTCAACCTTTTCGAAATCAAATTAAACTTTTTACAAGTGAAATTCAACCATTTCCATTTCGAATTAAACCTTTTCCAATTCAAATTCAACCGTTTCCATTTCAAATTCATGTTTCGAATTTTTATAAATTTTTTATTTCATTTTTTTAAATAAGCGCCATCCCTCCCCCCTACAATATGAAGGTCTATAATTATTCTCCCCTAAGGAGAGTTTTTCAAAATACTATATATTTTATGTTACACTTACGGATATTGATTTATTGTACCTATATAATCTTGTATTATGCTGTCCTGTGCCTAGTTTTTAAAAATTACCTTTTTATGATTAGGCCACCGCGTTCCGACTTATTTAAGTTTTTTGGATTTATTCGATATAAGGGTGTATTCTTATGTTTCCGGACCCACAGATTTTGAAAATGTTCTTCATTTTTATGATTACTTCATCGCGTTTCGACTTATTTAAGTTTTTTGGATTTATTCGATATAGTGGTGTATTGTCATATTTCCGGAGCCATGGATTTTGAAAATTCGTAAGTGTAACATAAAATCGATACTATTTTGAAAAACTCTACTTAGGGGAGCACAATAATAGACCTTCATATTATAGGGGGGGGGGAATGGCCCTTATTTAAAAAAAAGTTTAATTTGATTTGGAAAAGGTTGAATTTGACTTGGAAAAGGTTGAAATCGACTTGAAAATGCTATATATTACTTTGCTTTACTTATTTTTGAGGACGTGATGGTGGAGCACGTCGGAGTGTGAGCCCAAAAGTGTCTTAAGAAATACTAATATGCGAAAGAGTTCCTAATTCGCAGATTCCATATTTGATAATTCGTGATAAAAAAAAAAAATAAGAATTCTAGTGCATACTGAATATGCATATCACTATTGTATGTATTGTATGTACTATTGTATTGTAGGTATGTTTTCACTCGTAAAATAGATGGAACAAGAAAATCCATAGAAAAAAAATCAACTTTTTATTTCTTAGGACTTAACGAGACCAATACATTTCTTCAGCCAGAACAAAAATAATTAAACCGGAATATAAAAATATGCATCTAGTCCATACAACTTTGATGATTAGACAGGGAATTGAGACCGCGATGAGCTGGTTGAACTTCAATAGAAATAAACACAATCACAAATAAAACGTTTTTTTCTTTTTTACAAACTCAGAGTTTTTTTTTATTATTTATGAAATTTACAACTGTACATTTAAAATACATTCAGCAAATGTGATATAGATAAATACATGACATGACAAGGCTTGTAGAGAATCTATCCATTGGTAGCACTGTAGTAAAGTTTCTGAATCAGGAGATCACGTGGCCATCTTCTTTTCAGACGCCTAGGATGGTTATCAGAGCTCGAGGTGCAAGCAAGGCCAGAAACGAGAGGATTAGGGTGGTTCTGAAGTTTATTATGGAAGGATAGATATCTGGATTGGGCCAAACCGGAAACATATGGAACATTCAAGTAAGTATGGATTATTTTATTTATTACAAAGTAAGGAGCATTAAGGAAACTCAGAATAAAAATTAATTTAAATTTGCTGAAAATTACTCGAAATATACAAGTAATGGCAGTAAGTGTCATACCAATAACGTTTTAAAATGGACCAAACAAATCTGTATAGGTTAACATTTTGAAAATACTAAAAGTTTATAACCCCATAAAATATTGTATGAACTTAACTCCCACTCCGGAAAATTGGATAAACGGTAGTATGTGATATGCCCGTCACATCGATCTGACTACAGACAGACGCCGAACAAAATTTGATCATTGATGTCTGAAACGTAAAACGCTAGTGGAAATTTTCGATTAACAATTTTTTTTTAACCTCTCGCACGAATACCTTCGGTAGTGAGAAAGCAAACAAATTTACATAAAAAATTATAATTATAATACAAAAAGTTCCTGACACTGTCCTGCAAATGTTGTTCATATTTATTTAATACTCTTTTAATATTTATTCTAATTATGGTTGTGGTTTCTTAAACTTGATTGCCTTCCCCAATTTCGATAGACTAGGATTAGCTAGGTAACATTTATATCTTTGCTTTTCGAAACATGTTTAGAATATTTAAATTTCTCCATTTCCACAAACCTAACCAACCAATTCAATGAACACTTCGTAATATTGAAAGCAATATGAGTGGACCATGTTTCTAAACGTTTTAAAAAGTCTGAGGTAGTTTTACAAAGTGAATATAACATTTTATAACAAATTGTCTTAACCTTATCTTAGAGCTCTATGTACATTTCCACTCCATAGCTTCATACCTGGGCACAATATAGCAACGATGAATTAATAATGTCTTTTTTAAACTCTTCTCTCGCCTCCCAGGAGTTCGTTTTTGCTTTTGAACAAATGTTTATTACAGAACATATTGTTGAGTTTGTCTTTGAGATGGCTGTCTTAGCTGCTTGTTTAAACAAACCAGACCTACAAAAATGGTCACCTAAATAATTATATGTATTGACTGTAAACTCACTTCTCCTTCCAAATATATACTATTATATTTCTTTGGGCGGCTCCTAACGGATTTCAAATTTTTTGTATTATCAATGTTTATAATTAGTATATTGTCTCTGCAATATTCATTTAGAGCACCATTTTTTTATAACAAAGTCGGTATAGGAATTAGCAGAAATAGTCATGTCATCTGCAAACAAAAGAAACGCTATGTCAACACATCCCTCAATAGGTGTACATGACAGCTTTTAAAATTATTCCTCAATATTCGATAAGAAGAGATTAAACAGCATGTGACAAAATGTCTCTCCTTGTAGTACACCTTCAGTAATTTTCAACTTTTTAGACACCCTCCAGCGGTTCCTTTCATTTGAGTGTACTCATCACCTGTCTCGTAGAACTAGAATTATTTTCCCACATAAACCTATAGAAAAAACTTTGTGATATAGGAAGGTGTGATTTATACAGCCAAAATCCCAACAAAATTCAACGAAGACGTTAGACTTCTCATTTAAAAATTGGTAGTGGATAACTGCATTTAAAAAAAAAAAACATTAGCTTAGTTGCTTCTTCTATTTCTGAATCCTGATTGGCATTCAGCTACAGTTCTACTTTCTTCAGTCCATAATGTGATTCGTTCCAACAGGATTTGGGTAAAAATTTTGGAAACACTTTTTGCCATAGATATGTTACGATAATTAAGTGGGTTTCCTCGGTCCCCTTTATTAAATATCATTACGCTCAACATATAAGCTCATGATTTTAGCACCTTCTCTTCCTTCAGAATGTTTATTGAATAAATTCTGTATAAACATAATCCAATTTGAAGGAAGATTATTGTATATTTTATATTGGACACCATCAGACCCTGGACTTTTCCCATTTTTAACATTGTTTAGAGCTCTACCTATTTCCTCAGAAGATATATGTCTATCTAATAATGGATGTTGACGATCGATAAAAAAAATCATTGGGTGTCAACCTAGGTAGATTCATCGTTCAAACCTTTTAATTTACTTAAGAGTGAATTTATTTTTTGAGCCTCCTTTGGCATTTAATTCGAAATTAGATAACATCTATTTTTCAAAACAGCATTTTTCATTGTTGTATAACAATAATATTAAGTTTTAGCTGTTTTAGTTTTAGCAGTTTTAAAAATTAACATTTTTTCCAACTCTCTACAGACTGAAAAGTTCATTTGTAACACTGAAAGAAAATTGAACTACTTCTAGAAATGTAAAACACCGATTTCAATAAGTCTAAACTTATTCCGATTTAAATGCAAGGTGGTTGCAAATTAACTTGTTCCAAATGATTCTTTGGCGTGTGTGAAGAATTAGACAAGTCATATCAGAATATTATTCATTTATAATGTTAATAATATTTATATTGGAATATTAATCTTTAAATAGCCTTTGTATATTATTTCTGAGAACTAGCGGCATCATCTTTATAATGTCTGTAATACCTCCTTCGTTTTTCAGTCGCATAAAAGTGTAAATACCTCACTTATTGATTACTACTAAGGAGACATCACTGGAAATTGATAAACTATTTGAAACAATTAGTTTTTTTCTTATTTGATAATTCTACATCGCAAAATATTGGACACGTGTCTAGGGGGCGTTTCTTCTAATGGGACTGAGGAGCCGAGAAATTAAAAAAGAAAATCCTATTATGGTTTGTTTCCTATGCTTTGCACGGACTTCTAACATATGAAATCCCAACTGATTTTTTATTTAATGTGAAAAAAAGAAGATATCTTCAATCATACTAAATGAGTTCAAATGTAATATAAATTATAAAAACCAAAAGACGCTTCCAGTAAAATAGATCAAATATTTTTTTTTTTTATGAAAACGTGTTAGATTCATTTTCACCGTTCTCTAAAACCCTTAAATACGAAGAAATACATAGGATAGAATTTAAAAAATATATATAATTTCAGGACTTGATGGATTTTTATTCCTGTCGTTACTTAAAGCATTCAATAATTCACAGAATTCATCCAAAATTAACGTTAGTACAACCGTTGAAAAGCTGGGTTACTGCGCTTCTTACATTTGTTAACAACGTTTAGATTTTATGCCGTTTAAAGGTAGAAATAAAGAAAAACTTTTCATATGTCTTTATTTTATATTTTAGGTCCTCATTTAGTTTAGTAGGTAGAAGAAATACTACATCAATAATAACCCATCCTAAATCCCTGATCATTTTCGTGTCGATAGGCGGAGTCGTCTAGAAACTATTACAATTATAATTCTCAAGAAAAAAAAAACTATAA